AAAAAAAAATATATATATATATATATATATATATGCAGTGCTGAGCTGTCATATTTATGCATTTTTTTAAGTATTGCATGAAACCAAATTAAATGCGGCCACTATTTGGTCTTGTTATTTTTCTTGTAAGCCTACACCTTTTCCTTGATTTTAATTTAAATAAACACTATATAAATATGGAAAATATTTCATGTTTAGACTTATTTACAATGCTTATTTATGCAGCTTTTTCTATTTGTAATCTTTTTTTACAGATTTTCTCTTATTTGTCAAAGAAAGACATTATCTTAATTTAAAGAAAGAACAAGCATCAATCTATAAAGTATAAACACAATTATTTTGGCATAAATGCGAAGCATTTTCTAGTGTAAAGTTTATTATATTTATTTATGATCTATTTATGTACCGTCTATGTTACATTTTAAATTAACTTTGTTAAGCTTGACATAATAACACCCAATTTAGTCATTCATAACAGTGACCTTGTTCAAATAGCCAGCTGACATGTTTTAAAAAATTTAGTTTAGTTAGTTTACACAAGCTCAGATGGATATTTTTCCCCCATTACATTTCAAGTCTTTTACAAATACCAATATGTGTAATTGTTGACTTGAATAGGGGCGTCGGCTCCGTTGCATGCCTCATTCTGTAGTCAAGTGCCACGTCTCACTTTAAATTTACCACTGCTAAGAGCTTCAGAGCAGGCAGTTGGCTGCGATCAGTCGCAAGTTCTTAAAACTTTAATAAATCAGCAAAATTACTCCCATAATACCTCTCTCTATAAACCTATAATGATGTAACACATACACAGATATTCCTCACATGTAAGTATTAATAAACAACCCGTGCAGTCGGCATCTACCTTAGTTCTTCGCCCTCGCACCTAACCAATCAGGCCCAGAAGTCTTGCTTTTCATTTGCTTTGGCAGCCGCCACATCAGACTAAAATGAATGACTTTTTTTTACATAAGTTGCGAGGTCAGAGGTGAGAAGATATGATACGGCGGGCTGATTAGCACCAGGCCGGGTTCACTCAGAGTGCACATAAAAAGGATCTACACAGGTCTGCCTGCCGTTTGGCTGAAAGAGGGAGGTCACACTGCAGTGACATCTCTACTCGGTTTTCCAGGGCAGATTCTGAAGTCTGTCAAGCAGATCCCCGTCTTCCTCTTACAAGCGAGGGCAACACCTGTTATGTAAACAGTCATGATTGGTAGTGGTGGTGCTGGATCTGTGTGGACAGGGAGAGTGGGCTTATTCATGTATGTTTGCCATGTCAGCACTGATGTACACTGGATGAATTTGAAGACACCATAGGGAAAGATGCAAAATGGTGTGTTCCTGTTTAATAACCACCAAACATCTCTGTCGTGTTTAGCAGTTCAAGTAATAAATTAAAAGAATAGTTTGCACAAAAATGACATTTTTGTCACCTTTTAGTCAATTCATGATGTTTCAAATCCATATGACTTTCACACTTCTGTCAACATTTAAAAGTAGATATTACACAGAATGCGTGAGCTGCTCTTTTTTCATACATCAAAAGTGGATGGTGATTTAAGCTGATAGCATACTTTGGTTCTTACACGTACACTAGGGTATGCATACAGTTTGCATTCTCAAATTGAAATTTCTAACCCCTCGTACAAGTTTTTTTTTTTT